TTAAAAAACATCCTGGCTCTTCCAAGCTTTATAATGGGAGTGGATGGTAGCCCAAAATTTGAAGTCCAAAAAATTGCACCCATCCATTATAAAAGAAGTCCACACGGCTCCGGGGGGTTAATAAAGGCCTCCTGAAGCGAAGCGTTTGTGTAAGAAAAATATCCATATTTACAACTTTATAAACCTTAATCTCTAACTTCCGCTAACTGTCGTACGCACGTTCACGAACGAGAGGCGTCCAGCGGATGAGGTAGGCGTAGCGTAAACTCCGGTGAGAGTCTCGCGAGAAACAAGTTTTGTTTACAGCAAAGGAAAACCAGTGTCCTCTTGGCTTATATTGAAATCCTCCGACATTTTTCTTTACAAATCCTCGTTTTGTACTACTAATTCATGACCGGTGTTTTGTTTTGCTGTCTCCTCTGCACTTCCACGTTCATCACCGCGTTTGCCTACGTGCTACGTCATCCGCTGGACGCCACTCTCTTGTAAATGCATGTATGACAGTTAGCGAAAGCTAGAGATTAAGGTTTACAAAGTTGTAAATATGGATATTTTTCTTACACAAACGCATTGTGTCGATTTAGAATGCCTTTATTAACCCCCCGGAGCCGTGTGGACTTCTTTTATTATAGATTGGTTCAATTTTTTGGATTTCAAATTTTAGGCTACCATCCACTTCCATTATAAAGCTTGGAAGAGCCAGGATGTTTTTTAATATAACTCCGATTGTATTCGTCTAAAAGAAGAATGTCATATACACCTAGGATGGCTTGAAGGTGAGTAAATCATGGGGTAATTTTCATTTTTGGGTGAACTATCCCTTTAAGCTCTCTGATCTAAAAAAAGCACTAAACCGGCTTAGCGATAAAACAGCCTAAACTCCTTTTCACACTTTCATTAAACTGTTATGAGCCCCTAATCTGCAGCACAAGAAGCCAAACCCTTAGAAAAGCCTCTAAACTTCAGACTGACAAGCACACCTTGGTATACTTTTTAAAACAGTACTTAGAGAAATAATATACTTTAAAAGAATATATTTAAATGCAAAATCAGTGTAATGTTTTTAGACACTTAACTGCACGTTATTATTTGCAATCAAATGAAAATGTATTATACTTTAAATGTATGTTAAATGCCATTCGTTAAACTTAAGAGTGCTTTTAAGAAGAACTTATTTAGATTTTTATATGTAATTTCATAATTACTTACATTGTCTTTGAAATACGGTTGAAGTGTAGTCTGGCAAACTAAATTTCAATGGAATTTCAATTGAAACTTGTATGTCGTGTTTAAATATATTTGTAATTACACATTTGTAATGATGTAGTTGCAATTTAGTAAGTTTAATCAACCCTCTACGCACACCTTGGCAATATAATCGCCATTGGCTAGTAAAAAATTTTGTTTACTCGCCAGACTGATATACTATTTTTCACACACACACTATCAATACAGGGACGGTAATAGATGAGCGCCAACCAACGAGAGCTGTTTGGCAATTAGCTCCACCCACTGCCGAGAAACCAGCATATCTTCTGCTTGTTCTTAAAAGCTGAATAATTCTAAATGAACTGTTATTTTGATCTGTGTTGAACGCCTCTCACACACATACTGGCGTGTAAAATCTAAGAAGTTATTAGCCAATGGCTAATGTTAGACATCATTTAATCGCCCAGAGAAAGATTTAGTCGCATATGCGAGTATTTTACTTGCAATGTAGAGGGTTGTTAATATAGATTTATTTTAAATGCAATACTGAATAACAAACTACAATTATTGACAAAATCTAGTAGCCTACTTTGTTTTAGTAAGTCAGTCAACCTTTGACCACAACAAAAGATTACCAAAACAATTTCAAATGTACTTTAAAGTAAAACCTTTAATTTTACATTATTTCAAAGTGCACTTTTTACAAGTGTACACAAGTGTGTCAAGAACCATCAAGATTCCATTAAAATTATTCCATTCCACATCATTAATATTATACTACGTGCAGGTCTTTTTTAAAATATACTTTTAAGACTTGAAGTACACGACAAGTGCACATTAAATACAACTAGTAAGCACACTTCTTTTTCACAAGGGCAGGGACAAAACACAATTGCTTTTGCTATGACAGCAGGGTCTGAAGGATGCATGCAGATTAAAACACTAAAAAGGCTCATAAATGCCCAGCTATTTTGTATGGCCTATTATTAATAGTGCACGTAGTGTTTTTTTTTTGTTTACGTTTAGCTGTCTATAATTTGTTCCAATAGTAAATTAAAATATCAGAATACTGATATGACCATGATAGTGTGCATCATTATAATGGCATCCTTCAAAGCTGCTATTAATTTCTTCAGGTGTCACACTTTTTGATCTGCAAACAAATACTGAACGTACCCTTAAGGCTCTACAAAACAGCATCTACAGACAATCGTATAAAAATTCATAAAAAATTACTTATGACAGGCTCCTGTCAGAAACCCTGTGCTGTCATTCCCTCTTCAGGCTCAAAAGATGCGTTATTTTGCATTTAAAACCGTCTAAAGTGTCAGAAAGCTTTCAAAAACACGGAGCACTAATCCACTGACATGGTTATTTTGTTGAAATCTTTTAAACATGGTTGCATGCACAGGACTGTAGGTGCCTGTAAGGCTGCTCCAGCTATGCAATTTCATCTCTCTGTATGTCAACAAGCACGAAGGAAGTCTGATGATTCCTTTTGTTTACATTTAGCCAGTGCGCGCGAGCGACTGATCATTCACCAAATCAATCACGACCCCACTGCCTAATATTTGGCTTTTGCTGCCAAAAGCAACACATCAGGCCTGAATCAAGACTTGCACGTATTGTATTTGGCCAGCGCAAAGCCCAAAACCACCAACATCGCATCTTCCACATAAACAACGCGTAAGCGTGCATATGCATCGTTTGCATGCTCGCTTTTTTGGCTCTGAAATGTCAAATCTCCCCACCGATGTTTTCTTTACCTGTTCGTCGAAACGATTAATGATGGCCTGGACCCATTCCACGGGCTTGTGCGCCGCCATGCTCAGGCGGATGCGCGCGCCGCTAAGTCTCCTATCAATCACTTATGCGATCCCGATT